ATATTTAATAAGAAAAGTGATGGAAACATAGACAAAAAGAAAAAGAATATAAATGAAATTGACTAGAGTATTTTCCAACCTCTCTCTCCCAAATGAGATGTGGTGAGACCCTCACTGCTCTATCGCTACTTCCTCCGCCATAACATTTGCATATTAAAAAAACACCCACATTCCCTCTGTATTCCCTCGGCAAGAAGTAAGTTCTTACTATGAACCATTGCCCTGTGGAACAGACTCCCAAGATCTTATTTCCTTGATCACTACAATTTTAGCCTGTTCAAGTCTAGAGTCAACAATTATCTTCCCCTCCTATCCATATAAACTATCCCTTAACATAACCCTCTACCTCAAGTGGCCCCTGGGCTCTGTACAAGGTGAACCTTACTGAAAAAAAAATATATATATATATATATATATATATACTTTAAAGACATATTAAAAAAAAAAAAGTCTAAATTTAAAATTCTCACCATCTCTCTTTCATGCACATGTATAGTCTCATCATTACAAATATAAAGTTAGTCTGATGAAGTCCTAAAGGATGAAATGCATCACACTTTTTCCACCATGTCATACTTCTTTCCCTTAATAATTAACTGTCCCTACCTAAATACATGCACTGGAATCACACATACTTTTAATTTAACTCTATACTTCTGACATCCACACCTACACTCAAAAATTTTATTTACTATTTTTTTTGTCAAGAGGAGTAGATAGGTTCATCCATCGCCCGGTTCACACTCATCCCCAGTCTTTTGAACAGAAGTAGCATTTTATCCCTTGTCTTTCATGTTTAAGATTGGGTTTCTGGTTCCTTCTAAAACTTTTTTATTTTCTTTCACTCCCTTGCATCTTAGTGGCATTATTGCCTTGCCTGGGGTAAAATGATTAAAAAAAAAATATTGTCATTGTAAATTATTTGGGTCAGTGTTATGCGATTCATGTAAGCATGAAGAATATCTTAAGTAGTTCTCATTGATTTGACCATTTTTGCCTGTATTTCTGGAATGAGGAGCTGTCATTGTTTACATTCAGATTAATGTCCTCATCTTTGTTGTTATTATCACATTGTTTCAGCCATTGTACCCTCCAGCCTTCTTAGGCATCTTTCAGTCCAAGTTACCTTCAAGTAATTTCAAACTGAACCTTTTATTTAACCCATGAAGCTGGATTGATTTGGTGGCATTTTCCTTGAATTTGTTTTTCTAAAAGTAATAATTTTATATTCATACAACCATCCATCCTTGCATGGAATATTGCTGTCATATATGGTCTGGTGCTCCTGCTATACGTCTTAAGGTCCTTGACAAAATCTAGAGATTAATATGCAATATGATAGGTCCTGATCTAGCATCTGATCTACAATCGTTATCCCACAGATGTGACATGGCTTCCTTCTGTCTCTTCTACAAGTATTTTCATGGCAACTATTCCAATGAGCTACTTTCGCTGGTTCCCAGACTGCATGAATTTAAGTGAGCTATCATCTCAGTCCCACCCTTTCACTTTCAAAACAGTTAAATGTAACTGTCTCTTCTACTCAAACAGCTTTTTCTCTCATACTTCCCATCTGTGGAATTTTCTTCCTCCTCTTACTTGCTTCCCTGATGATTATAATCCTCAAAAATTCAAGTGTAATGTCAATCAACATCTGATACCCTGAGCTTGTTCCCCATCCTTCTCTGTATCTTTTCCTCGAACACACCTCTTTACTCTTGTTCTCAATCCTCTGTAACCCCTTGTGAACTAGTGGCACTCTCACCTTACTTGGGATGAATTGCTTTAAAAAAAATGATTATACAAATAGATACATGCAATTCCAATATGTGTGGATCATGAGAAATATATATATAGATAAATGAAGCTAGTGAATAGAGTTTGTTGTTGATTTATTACACGTAGCCATAATGGGTTGCAATGCAAAATGTAGTTCTTGCTGTGAGTCGCAATAAAAAACTTTTGAAAAACACTGGCCTAGTATATATGCTGATTCCTTCAGTGTTGTGATAACAACAACAAAGATGAGGATATCAGTCTGAATCTGAATAATGATAATTCTTCATCCCAGAAATGTTATTTGTTATTTGCTTTTCACTCATGACATTTTCTCACTAGTCAGTTATGTTAGAAATTGAAATTCATATAAATATTGACTTTTGTTTGATATAAGTATATGTTCCAATCATTAAAATCATTTCAGGTTTTATACTTAGCTAAAAATAGGAACTTGATTTTCATCATGTCTCCTTCCTGAGCCAGAAATTCTAGTTTTGTGTAATCCCTACTTTGCTCTTTATTGAACAATGAAAAATATAATGAAATCAATCATGCATAAATTTTACTATAATTCACTTACATTTGTAGTGAAGGTCCACTGTGTATTTGGAGTGTTATCACAGTAGACATAGAAACAACCCATCAGTAATGGCTGCACCCCTAATTCATACATAGATAATGGGATTAGCTTATCACACATGGCAGCATGTCTGGAACACACACATACACACACACATACATATGTAATACTGAGATTGAAAAAAGTTGGCAATAATTGCATTTGTTCAGACCTTTTCTACAACTAAAAATCTTTTGCAGTTTTCATCCTAGCTTGGATGTGTGGGTAGTGTAATGGATAGCAGCTCAGAATGAGAAATTGGAGAGCCAAGTTCAAATTACAGTCGAGTTCATTACATTTACTTACACACAAATACTTTTAGGAAAGGTATGAATCCATTCCCTCTCTAGGACTTGTATCTGGAAAAATCATTGTTATTCTACAAAAAAAAAATTGTTAATGCAATATTCACTTGCAAAAAAAGAACTATTCTTATAATCCAAAATACATTTCAACTTTAAATAACTTGATCATAAACTTCAATATGGTTAAATTGGCAGCTGATCTAAAAATGACCCACAATCTATTGTTAACTGGGGCAAGAAATGACCTTCCATCAGCATGGCTGATGCTAACCTCCAGGAGAGTGAGTCATTGAGTCTTCTTGGGCTAACATTTTTCCACTGACATGAAATGGAATTATTATATTGAATAAATTGTGAGCTCTGTTGCTAGGAAAGTTGGTTCACTATGTCATGCTAAATAATCTTTCTCACCAGAATCTGTCTTACACATTTATATGTCCACCATTCATCTTTGCATAGAATATTGCTGTCATATTTGTGCTGGCACTTCAGCTACATATTTAGAGATTCTTGATTAAATACAAAAAAGAATCTGCAATATTATCGGTCCTGCTGTGGCATCTCGGCTTCAGTTACTTTTCCACTGCTGTAATTTAGCTCCCTTGTGCCTTTTTTATAAATATTTTCATGTGAATTGTTCAGATGACCTTTCTTTTTTGGTACCTTGATTTTACAAATTTAAGTGCAGTACTAGATTGGTAGCTAGGTCTCATCATTTTAGAGTTGAAATGGCAAAATATAACTATAAGTTCCATGCTAACAGCTTCTTCTCTCACAGTTTTCACTTATGGAACTCTCTACAGGCTTACATTCCTGTTTTTATTTTTTCTCCCTTTAATAATTTGTTTCTTTTTCTTGTATTCTTTCACACTCAGTAACCCCATACATTGTTTATTGCATTGCTTGGAGTGAAATGACTAAATAAACATACAAATGATTGATAGGCTGTAAAAAAATTAAATCAGTCAATCAATTATCCTAGTTTGAAAGAAACAATACTAATATTTCAGTAAAATTTTCAATGTTTGGATATATTTTCAATGATTGTATTTTCAACAAAATAAAAACTGAACACTAACATTATTAATTGTGTTGATATTATGTACCAAAATTCCTATAGATACGCCAGCACATTTTAAGTTTTCTATATGCATTCTACATTGATTAGATGTCATATGTCAACACAAGACCATCAAGCAACATTACTAAATCAGTGGAAGCAAAAAGAAGTCAAACTTGTACATCTGGATACTTTTATTTCAGTTTTCTTAGCATATGAGCAGTTTCTACAAAAATTAAAAGAACTTATTGTTTAATCCTCTTTTAATATGATAATCTTTTAGAAGATAATCCCATTATCCCAAATGCAATACTTATACAGTGAACAGATTTATTTAAAAATAAAACTGAAAGAAAAAAGCAAAACAAATATCTATTGGCAATGCATCCAAAAATTTCAATATATGCTTTTGTATAGTCACTCCTCACTTAACGATTTAAATGTTTAATAATTCCTCAGACTTACAACCCGCTATAAAATCTCATAAAATAAAAAAATAAATCTCACCAATGAGTATTTTATGTTGTATAAACACTTTTCCTGTACCACTCCAGTAAGTACCTGATTCTTAATGCTATCCTCTATTTTTACAAGAGCCAGATTAGGCCAAAAATGGACTACTGCTGCCACATATAGGCAGGGGATGTCCAATCCTAACTTTCAAGTCATTAGTCTAAAAGCACGTATGTGGCCTTGTGAGTGATGAATAATTTTCCAATTTCCAACTCCTTTCTCACAGACGAAACATTGCAAGTCTCTTGCTGATCTGTTGCTATTTCCATGGAAAGAGGAACTACATTTCTTAGTTCCACCAGTTCTAACCTATACGGCTAAGGACCACCATGCCATGCACATTGTAGGGGAACCATCCTCTTTTCTTTCATATTCCATTAGTGAGATGTAAGTTACATTCAAGCAGCTCCTCACCACAAACACTACTTTCTGGATCTGATTTCCTAAAGGATTCTTCCTTGATCACTACAATCACAACTTATTCAAGTCTAGGGTTAACCATTATCTTCCCCACATATCCTCATAAACTGTGCCCCTTCCCTCTTACTCTTTAACCCTCTACCTTGAATGGCACTTGGGTCTTGTATAGGGTGAACATTATTGTAAAAAAAATTTTCTTAATAAATAGCTTTCTCTTTTAATTATAACTACATTCTATCTATTGCTATACCACAAAATTCTTGTAACACAACCATGAAAAAAAAAGCTAAATTTTCTTACTTACGTTTTCTGGCCATTTGGTAAATGTCATAGCGCATACCTCGATAATACATGTTGTCATCAATAACAATGAGAGAATTAAAGTCCTCAAGTTGGTTCTTTTTGTCATTGTGAAATGATTTTAGGACCTTCTGAAAATTTAGCCATAATTCATTGCTAACTTTTTCTGGTCTTCCTTCAGTTACTTCTGGCAAAGTACTCAGTATATAATCTATACAATCAAGAATGTCTTCTCTGTATTTTTTCCAAGTTGAATCTCCCTGAAATTAAATTTGATAAAATCATTTGAAAATTTAATTCATTAGGCACTGTATTCTAACCTCATTTTATAATATACAAAAAACTAGAAAATGACTATTAACCATTTAAGCTGTGTGACATAAATTGTGTGTGTGTTTGTAGAATGTACAATAGTATTCGAAACAAAAGTGAAGATGATGAGACAAAGGGGAAAATTTTTATTAAAGATTTGCTTCACTGGAGAAACATGCTCTCCTTGGTTTCTTAAGCCAAAGAGAGCGTGCACACACACACACACATGCATATACACTACAGTTCAAAATTTAAGGCCAACCCTTGGTAATTTTTTAAATTGGCCCCAAAAGTAGTTGTTTTGTACTTTAAATAAGAGAAAATTATTATACATGGTTAAAAAAAGTGAGACATGATTTTTATTAGTAACTTTTTTTTAAAAAAAAAATAGCATTTCATGATTAAATTTTGCTCTCGTCAAAATATCCTCCTTCAGCCTTGATTACTGCAGCACAAATTTTTGGCATTTGTTGCAAGAATTTCTCAAAGAATAAGTTTGATAATTGATTCCATTCTTTTTTCAATGATTCTAAGAGCTCTTTTTCATATTTTTTTCATTCTTCTATCAAGTTCATTCCATGCTAATTCTGAGGGTGGCTTCAAATTTTTGAACTGTAGTGTGTATATATAGAAGATGATATATAAATTTTTATATCTCAGAACAAAGTTAGAAAAATTAATGACAAAAGAGAAAAAACTTTTTGTATGACATGTTTCATCCTTTAGGACTTCAGAGTAAAGTGATGTTTCTGTTGATGTAACTAAACATTCATATGAAGGGGAGGGGGGATATAAAAATGCAAACACTGGTTATAATCATGCATAGATAGGAAATAGGAAATGCTGAAAATATTTGGAAATTTTAAACTTTTAAATTAAAATTAATTTTTTTAGAGATGTTTTGGGTATGTAGTCTAAACAATTTAATTTAGTTTCTTTTTATTTTTGTTTATATTTTTATCACTTTTATTATTAAGTAGCCTACACCATAAAAATAGAAGATCTGCCAAGAAAGGTGAAATGTTGTAAAAATCTGAACATAAATTTACTAAGGATGATTTAAAGATTAAAGCACTTTCTATACATCTTATTAAATTGCTTTCTCTTTTAATTAAAGTAGCATTTTTTAAATTGAAATTATTACAGTGAGCAACTAATGTACTGAGTGTGCTATTTGTAAAAGATCCATTTTGTTTTCATATATTTTATTTAAATTTTTGGAGTTTGTCCTATGTATTCCTTGTGGCAATTATTACAGGTGACAGAGTAAATTCCTCTTTCAAGTTTTAACTTACTATTATTTTGTTTTGTATTAATTACCATATATTTCCACAGATAAGGTGACCTTTAGATAAGACAAGGTCCAAAAATATAGCGGATTTTCATGAATTTATCCTATACCTGTAGTATAAAATGACTGCTTATTGATTATATTAAGATGATGTTATTGGAAATGTTATTTACGAAATAACAAAACCAATTCTATATCATGTTTTTCCTACACACATCCCCTATTCTGGGGGCTTCCTTACTTTGCATGATTTAGCAGATTTAACAGTAACAGCAGTGAAAAAAATCAGAAGGGTACAATTGCTGAGAAAGTCCTATTCAGCCTCTTTTCCATTTTCCTTTTCAGCAGCCACTACATTCAAGGCCCACTCTTTCACAATTTTCATTTTCAGCAGCCTCTACCTTCAAGCCCAGCTCAAAGGGCTATACACAACCCTTGCTGTAAAAGATGAGGCTCATCCTAGCAGCTTGACTCAAATTTCTCTCATTCCACCAGTGAAGAAATCTCCCTTTGAGACACCTACCCAAAGGAAAACTAAACACAACCCTTGCTGCAGAAGACAAGGCCTGTCCTAGAAGTTTCACATTCAGATTTCTCATTCCTCCCACTGGAACTAACAGAGAAATCTCTCTCTACAAAACATCTGCTCAAGAACTTTGTTAACTGGGAAACCCCACTTTTTTTCCTGCAAAATACTACTATTTTGCACACTCTTTCAATCAGAAATAAAAGCTGTTAAACAGTTATTTTGAGCCTTGAGTTTTGTTCATTCTACTCTCACTGCCGAGTACAAACACACACGTAACCAGGAAAAATTTCTCACAAATTTTTTAAAATTGTGCGAATTTTTCTGAAAATATTAGTGAAACTGATGAATTGTGTTCTTTGAGATGGTTGGCAAAACATTGGCTAATTGATAATCAATTCAAATATTTTTAATAATCTTGTGAATATAAAATCAATTTTGTAAATAAACAATCTAACACTTAAATAGTTTGTAACATTTTTGTTCTTATTAAAATTCTAAACATGGAATTTAAAACAATAAATATTGCCAAGGCATTGTGAGTTCAGTCTCTGAGCCAGGTAGTGTGCACTTGAACTCAGTGGAAATGGGTGAATAATAACTTAGCAGTGCTAAAAATAAGAACTATACAATATCCTTAGATATAGAAGGGGAACAAGAAAAGTCTACCTGCATAGATTAAATAAAAGGTTCAGTTTAGAATTCCCTGTAGGTTACTAAGATTGATATGCACCTGAGGAAGGCTGGAGAGCACAACAGCCAAAACATTGTGATAACAACAACAAAGATGAGGACAATAATCTGAATATAAATAGTATAAATAATGATAATTCCTCATCCCAGAAATCTAGACAGAAATTGCCAAGAGAGTTAGGGAAGTATACAGAAACAGTAGTGTCAAGAGAAAAAAACATCCTTTTGACACCCTGTTTTTTGCAGGTACATAGATTAAACATTGTACAACAGTTATTGTCTGGATAGCAGTTTCAATAAATTCAAGACCTTGAAAAATTGTTCAAGGAATTCATCAATTCAAAACCAGAATCATTTGATTACAATGAAATTCATAATTTAAACCATGGAAAATGCTTTCAAGACTGAAATGGTGCTACAAATTTATATGAATAAAAGTTTTTATTGTGAACTTTATATCAGTTCTCAACCCAATCCAGTTTCCAAAATCCAACCAATCTTTTTTTCACTTCTTGGTCAGATAAAGGACTTTTCAGCACCCCCTCATATATCTACATACATAATCAGTATCATGGCTTAAAAAAATTTAAGAAATTCTTATTTGAATAAATTTTATTTCAATTACTGAAATTAATAAAAAAATGTTTTTAAAAATGGTGTGTCTACAGAAATTCACCTCCCCTAGAAATATCTTTTTTTTTTTTTTTCAAAATCTATTTTCATATTGTATCAAGCTTTTCAGATGACTAATATACATTTTTTTTTCCTGAATTTTTCACATTTTTAAGATGGGGAGTTAGTTTTCTATGTAAATTCATTATAAATTGATCCCTCTAAGCAAGTCAAAAAATAAAATAAAATAAATGTAAGTAAATAAAAGTTGAATGTTGGTGTAACTCAAAATGAGAAACTAGAGAGTCAAGTATAAATTTCAGTCAAATTCGTCACATTCATTTATGCATGAATACCCTTGGGAAACTTATCTCTTCTTCCCCCAGGCTATGGGTAAATGGCAGGACAGACTGAGTTCTATAGACTTGTTTAGTAGCCAGTCTTATAGAAGGAAAACTCTGAATTCAAATAATCCTGGAAAGGGTTGAGCTACATCAGGCTATCTTGTTCAAGACATACCACTGCAGCTAGGACAGTGTATATGGTGTCCCCATGACCCAAATGGGTTACAGGACTCATGATTGTTAAGTACAGTAAATAACTATAATAAAATAAAAAGGAAATTAAGAATATGCTTTAAATTCATTATTTCAAGGCTGCTTGGAAATTTTCAATATTTAAGCATTATTTTAACACAAGGAAAATGGTAAGTAAAAATATGTTTTAAATAATATAAATATTAATGTTATTTTAACTTGAAAGTTTGTATGCAAGAATATTCTTTATGTGGTATAAGCTTTTTTTTTTCTTTTGGCTTGCATATGTGGATCAAATTATAATTATTTTACATTCTTAAGTGAACTACCCTCTTAAAATTTAGATATTTTTTTAAAAAATGGATATTCATGATCTGGAGTGTTTAATCGATAATGATATGAAAAAAATTTGAAAAAGTGATTATTTTGTGGTGAGGTGAATTTCTGTAAAAATGCCAAAAATAAAAAAATTATTTTCACAAAGGAAAAATGTTTTTTGTTTTACCTCTGCAGACAATTTTCTATTGTCAGTAAGAAACTCTTTTAGGTTATCAGGCATCAAGTCATCATAAGAGAGAACCACAATGTGAAACTTGGAGATTAATTCAGATGTTTTCAATTTTTGTGCCAATGTTGATTTTCCACTGGCTGGCAGGCCACATAAAACCAAGAAACAGTGCACCATTTTTCCACTTGCTCTTTTTCCTGCAGTTAACATATATACAAAACAGCAAATAAGATAGAACAAAACACATTCTCTTATGTGTGAATACATACAAAAAAAGTTTATTGATATTTTAAATAACTTCTTTTCTGTATAAAATATAAACAGGAAACAAAATGCAAATGAGAGTAAATTTATTAAAAATATGTCATATTTAGTTACAAGAAAATTAACCTTTATTATTTCTGCCATCTTCAATAGTCTCTTGAAAGTACACTAAACACAGTTTACCAGTGTTTATTTTTCTTTTGATTTATAAAACTTATCACATTTAACTTAATAAGACATTTTAGATTAGAGAGAAAAGCTTAAGAAAAAATTTAATTTGTATAGATGGATGTAACCACTTTATGCCTTAAAAAAAGGCCCAGACACCACCTCACTGTTGAACACAAAAATTGTCATCGACATACCAAAAATTATACTTTTTTTTAAGCATTTCACTCCAAACAAGGCAGAGTGCCACTAGTATGCAAAGGGCTACAGAGAGTGAAAGTAAGGAAAAAGACTGGGTATGATTGGGGGGAGGGTAAGGAAAGAATAAAAAGAAGAACAGAGAAGGATAAAAAGAAGAATGGGGATCAAGGCATCAGAAGATGTCAATTAACATTACACTTAAATTTTTGAAGATTATAGTTATCAGGAAAGCAAGTAAGAGGAAGGAAGTTCCACTGTCAAGAAGTGCAAGAAAAGAAGCTGTTGGAGTAGAAGAGGCAGTTACATTTAACTGTTTTGACACTGAAAGGGTGGAACTGAGAAGCCAATCTAGTAGCACACTTAAATTCAAGCAGTCAGGACACCAGTGAAAATAGCCCATTAGAGTAGATGCTATGAAAATATTTATAGAAAAGACAGAAGGAAACCACATTACATCGGTGAAAAAGTGACCCCAAGTCAGGACTGATCACATTGCATATTTGCCTTTGGGTTTTGTCGAGAATCTCAAGATGAACAGTGGGGGCACCAGGTCATATATGGCAACAGTATTATATGCATGAACGAATGGTAGATTTATAGATGTGAATGATGCACTCAAACAAGAAAAACCTTTTGGCGCAACATAGAGAACCAACTTTCCTTGTGGTAGATGCAACTATTGATTCAGCGTAGTTGTTACACCTCAGGTCAGTAGAAAAAGTAAGGTCAAGAAGGCACAGTTTTGCACTCTCGTGGAGTTGAGCATCAACCACGCTGATAGGAGACAGGGACATTTCTCTATAGTGAGTAAATGACAGCAGTTTTGTTTTGGATGCATTAATACATGGAAGTAAATCTTCAAATCTAACAAAGATAGGGCCCAATGGAATTCCCATGGAAATCCCATCAATTTGTATATACATCATTTTATCAAAATTTCAAGAGACATGGTAGAACATTTCATTATTTACAAGCAAGACTTGCTTGTATTAAAAGACTTAATTCTAATTTTCAGTATATCAGTGATGTTTTACATATGTTCAACAGTGAGGTGAAGTTTGGGTTTTCATAAAACTTTAAATAAATTAGTATTTTAGCATATTCATATTTTGCTTTTTATTGGATATATCAAACTCTCTACTGAACAAAGTGATTATATATATATATATGTTTAAAATTAGCTATATTTATTGTTATAGAGAGTTCATTATTAGACATGGAGCATTTATATATAGGGACAGTATGAACATAAGAATCAACACTACATGGGGACTTTCATTTTCATATCTCAAGTGAGGTTTAGACTTATTGAAGATTATTTGAGCCATGAGTCTTTTGTACAAACTGTCTTTATAAATGGTTAATAAAAAAAAGTTCAAAAGACTTATCTATCCGACTTCAAGTTTCACAGATACACTGTACATCAGGATCAGTTAAAGCTATTGAATTTATATACAGGTATCATATTTATATAAGCTACATAAAGAAACACTAATTATTGATACCAAACAAATTTCAAAATTGTCTTATAACATAAAATGTTCTTACAAGATAATATTTAAATGTCAAAAAATATTATAACATGGCAACATTTAAACATAAATTGTTCCATTTTTTTATTTTCACCATTAAACATTTACTGATTTAAATATTGATTTTTATTTATTTATTTCATTTGTTTTTTATTTTTATTTTATTTATTTATTAATTTTTTTTATTTTATAAAAAAACTAAACAAATTTCAAACCGGAACTATATGTTTTGGGTCTGTTAGGTATTAATGATCTGTTATTATGTATAAAATCATTCTTTTTTATATATATATATATATATATATATATATATATATATATATATATATAATAATAATAATAATAATAATAAAAATATAGTTTTAAGATATGCTATATTTCCCTGAGAGCTATAATCTCCAACTATTCAAATGTAATGTCAATCGACATCTCCAGTTGCCTTGATCTATCCACTATCCTTCTCCTCATCCTTTCCTCTATCACTTCTATCTGATCTTGCTCTAAATCTTCTGTAACCCCTTGCGTCCTAGTGGCTTCCCGCCTTGCTTGGGGTGAAATGCTTAAAAAAAAAAATTTGCTCAATATCAGAGATAAAGCGTATGAAAATATAAAAGTGGACACTGAGATCAACACCAAGTGGCAACAGTCTGTTTTATGCTTGAACACAATATTCAGGCCAAACATTAAACAGACTGTCACCACTTGGTGTTGACTTCAGTGTTCACTTTATATATATATATATATATATATATATATATATATATATATATATATATATATATATATCCACATTATAGTAATAATAATAATAATAATAAAACAATTATTTTCTGGAAGTCTGGGATTTAAAGTATTGCTAGAATAACAATTTTGTGGAATCAACTGAATCAAGTAAATTCCAATTCAATATCCCAACTGGTCTTCCATTCTATACCACTTTATATTTTTACCATCTTTTTTAGTTTTTTTCTTTTGTGCATTAGCTTTCAACAATCACTGTCTGCTTAGAATTTCAATTTGTTGTTCTTCTGTTTCATATTTACCATTTGATAAATTAATGCTATACAGGTTACCTAACGCTACAGTTTAGGTTTTCTTTAAAATGCTTCACCTTCACTAAGATCAATATAGACCAGCATTAATGTTTAACACTAACTGTAATATATGGTTCTATTTTAGAAATAGCAAGTGTGAAATGTAAGCAAAATAAGCTAAAAATCTCACAAAATTTTTAATTTTAACTATAACATGACTGTTCATTAAAGCTAGTCACAGGAAATTCAAATGCTTTTCCTATTTTATCTCAACTAAAACTTATATAAAACCAATTATCAGTTTCCAGAATATCTACTGTTGATGTGTTCACTGACTAATTTGTTCCTGACAATGTCTGAGATGCTTATTTTACCATTTCCTCATATTTCTAATATTTCATCTATTTAACACCTAGATATTGGACTGACTTCTTTAGATCTTTTGTTAGAGAATAGAAATCCATTTGAACATAATTTTCTTCTTAGCAATTGAGGCATTATCACAATAATAATTTTACTGGTTAAAAGTTACTAGAACTCAACTGAGTGTCTTGAGAGAATATTGGGTCTCAAACTCACACCTGACCTCAAGTGGAACACTTATATATGATCCATCACTAAAGATGCAGGTAAAATGATCAGCTCCCTGTACTGCTCCAGTAAGTACCTGACTCTTCATGGTATCCTCTACCTTTACAAGAGCCAGATCAAGTCAAAAATGGAGTACTGTTGCTATGTTTGGGCAGAAGCTACTCAGTCTTCACTTTCCAGTCTTGATAGAGTTCAAAAGTGTCTCTGAATCCTTTTTAGAGAAGAATTATTTTCCACCCTCCAGTCTCGTGATGTGGTGAGTCTCACACTGCTCTATTGTTACTTCCATGGAAAGTGCACTCAGATATACTACATTCCTTGGTTCTGCCAGGTCTAATCTTCTCAGCTAAGACCTGACATGCCACTTACATAGTATCAAACCACCCACACCAGATCAGGGCCAATAATATTGCTGATTCTTCTTTAGATTTTATCAAGGAGCTCTAGATAGATAGTAGGAGCACCAGATCATACATGTAAACAATATTCTAAGCATGGACAAATGGTTGACTTATAGATATGTAAGAATTGAGTTGTTTTACAGGCATTGTCATTTCAAAATCAAAAAGTCAAACACATTTATACTGAATAAAAAAAAATGGCAGCTTTTAGTGAATTTTGAATTGTGCTCTTTATTTAATCTACAAGGGTGTCTTCATTCCACTATGCCTGCCTAGGGATATCTCATCTTGTTTTTATTTAGTACTGCCCAATTATTGCTTGCTTTGTTTTCCACTGAAACTAAGTCTGTACTACCCAGAGCAGGGATTGAATTCAGAATTACTATACAACCAAATTCATGAACCAGTGCTTTAATCCACTAGGTTACCTTCCCATGTAATCAATAACTGAGCAACATAAAAAAGAAGAAGATGAGATATTCCTAGACTTGGATAGAGAAACAAAATCAATCTATGTAAATTAAATAAAGGGTACATTTTGAAAGTTCAAAAATCAACAGGCAGACAAATGAAAACAACCACAAGACAATGGCTGAAATGATTTGATAATAACAACAAAGATGAGGACATTAGTCTGAATATAAATAATGATAACTCCTCATTCCAAAAATTCAGACACAAAAAGAAATGGAAAATTTCTGACAGGAACAATAAAATAACAATTACATTTGCCGTTAATAGACAATAAAAACAAATTCTCATTTTTAGCCCAACACTCATTAGTCATAACCAATTAATTACTTTCATTCATTTTCTTTAACTTTTTTTACTGTGAATTATTAATGTGGTATTTTCAATGGTAGCTAATTGGTTAGAACTGGTTTTAACAATATTTTTTATTTAGTTTTCTTTTCTCTTATTTGACAGAAAATGACTCTGTGTTTAAAGATACTGAGCTTTAATTCTAGATGACAGGTTATAAAATCTGCTCAGTCAATGAATGCCAAATGTTTCCTTATAAGGAAATGGTTAATATTAACATTACCATATAAAATGTTTTATGAATTCATAAAATATAAAAATATATTTATTTTTTGTTGGCATGGCATAGAGAGATGGTGAAATAATTTTTACCTAAGGAATATGAGAAAGAAACCTTGTTGGTATTTACAAGGATACTGAGAAGTGTGATGGGAATTTGATGTCACCTTTTGATGTCTCAATAACCTATTTATAAAATAGCAAAAACATTGTTGCAATACTTTTTTTTAATGTAAATGACTGTTTCATAAAAATCCAGTCAGAACCTAACAGTTTATCTTTCCTCTGACCTAGTTCAGGTGGCTGAATGGGGGAAGGACTGGCATGTAAAATTCAATACCAAAACTAAACTAGTCACATTTCACCACTACCACCACCATGCAAATCCTGAATGTTCACCTATCATGATAAATGGGCCTTCTCTCAATGAGGCTTCTTGCCTTGACCATCTATTGAGAATCAATCTCTGCCTAGACTTTAAGTGAAACTCTGATATATGATCTATATCTAAAGATACTGGAAAATGGTTGGTTCATTGTACCACTCCAGTAAGTATCTGATTCCCCCTGCTATACTCTATCTTTACAAAAGCCAGATCAGATGAAAAATGGGGTATTGCTGTTATATCTGGGCCGGAGCTGCCCAGTCCTCACTTGCCTGTCAAGGACACATAAACCCTTTTGAACTCTATCGGGTTCCAAAGGGTTTATGTGTCCTTGTGGGTGATGGATAATTTTCCACTCTACAACCCCTTTCCTACAGACAAAACATTGTAAGCCTCTCATTAATCTATCTGTATTTCCATGTGTTCTGAAAAGATACATTTTTTGGTCCCACCATTCCTGACTTTTGCAGCTGGGACCCACCAAGCCACATACACAAGGATGACTCATCCTCATTCTCTTAGTATTCCATTAATAAGAAGTAAGTTTCCCTCGGACAGTTTCTTTTCAAGAACTGCTTTTTTTTATGGAACAGACTCCCAGCAGGATGTTTTCCCAATCACTACAATCTTCAAGCCTATGGTTAATTGTTATCTTTCTTGCATAACCCCATGAATTTTGCTTCTTGCTTTTTCTTACACTCATATAACCTCTACTTTGAGTGGCTCTTAGGTCTTGTATTGGGTAAACAGTAGTATAAAAAAAAATTATTTTGTTGATTTGATGCTAAAAGGGCATAAGTTGAGTTTTTGTGAAATGGCAAAAAAAAAAAAAAATTGAGGCAGGCCTAACTCAATATATGCCTGTTTTGTATAATATGACTTTTTCAAATTGCAAAAAAAAAAAGAAAAACATGAAAAGAGACATATATCAACTTATACCCTGTTAGAAACATACTGACAATTTTGATTCAACAATAAAATATTGAATTATAAACAAATTCACTTGCATGCTAATACCCTTAGGAAAGGTATGAATCCTCTTCTCCCCCCAGCTATGGGTAAACAGCTTGAGAGTGCAATTTTGGTGTATTGACTTTTATTTATTTATTTCATTTGTTTTTTATACAGATGATGTTGTGGCTATGTCCAAGGTAGAACTATGTCAAAATAATAGCAAGCAAGCTCACTCCTCCATCTCCATTTCACTTTCTTTTTATGTGCCATGTCCTTTCAGGACGTAGGCGATCATGGCTCTCCACCTCCCTCTATCCCTTGCAGCTCTCAACAAGTTCCTTCCCTCTGTTACCTACCCCCAGACCACATTCTGTTATCCACTTTCTTAAGTCTGCCAGGTATGTCACGTGTTGTTTTCCCATGTCCCTCTTTCTCTCTATTCGACCTGTGAGTATCAGATTCTCCAGGCCCTCCTTCCCCATTGTGTGTCCCAGAAACTTCAGCTGTCCCTTCTTGATATTAAGTATAAACCTCCTCCTTGGTTCCAACCTCTTTAAGATCTCATCGTTGCTCAATACGCTTGGTCCATGATATTCTTAGCATCCTTCTGTAGACCCACCTTGAGTCTCTTCTTCATCTTTGAGGAAATCGTCCAACATTCACTGCCGTAAAGAAGGACAGACTAGTCTGATTATAATCAAACATGAATGTCACTGATTTCTGATCAGTTTATTAAAGTGGTCCAGTTAAGTAGCATTTCCACATGTGCACAGTCGCCATTATAGCAAATGCATCTTTTTCTATTGTCAAGTGATTTTGTTCATTAGCATTTAATGTCCTTGAAAAGAAAGTGTACTAGACTGATTTAAGATGATAATGACAGTGTGATCAGATACATCTCTACAACAAAGGAAACTGATTCATCAATAAAATGCACTACAGTTTAGTCTATCTCAGCTTTCAAACATTTGAATGCCTTTTTTGCTATCTTGTATCATAGAAACTTTATGATTTCTTTCTTTCTCTATCATCCGCTTTTTCCGATTTCACTCAGGTGTTAAATAATAGTTTAGCAGGAGAATAAGTGCATCATACCCATTGTACAACATAGTGAATTCATTATTTATATTCAGACTATTGTTTTCATCTTTGTTGTTGCTATAATATTTCATCCACTGTGCCCTCTGGCCTTCCTCAGGTGTAATTGCAGCATTAATCAGCAGGCAGGTTAGGTTTAAGGCTCCAATTTTGCTACAGCAAATTGGCCTAATGGATTAAAATGTTGGTTTAAGAATTTTGTGATATAGTGATTGTGAATTCAATCCCTGGTTCAGACAGTGTGTAACAGTTGAGCAATAACTTAACAGTACTAAAAATGGAAACAGGTGAGCAATGACTTGGCAGTACTAAAAATAAGAACTAGATTATATCCCTAGACATAGGCAGTGGGACAAGAACAGTTTATCTCTATATATTAAGTAAAGGGTTCAGTTCAGAAATTCCTGTAGATTAGTATACACCTGAAGAAGGCTGGAAGTCACAATGGCTGAAAGGTTGTAATAATGACAATAAAGATGAGGACAATACTCTGAATATAAAAAAAATAATGATAACTCCTCATCCCAGAAATTCAGACAGAAATAATTCATATTCTATGTTTACCCAGCCTTGTAGATGATGAATTATTTTTCCACCCTACATCCCCTTTCCCATAGATGCAACATCATAAGCCTATTGGTACTCTATCACTATTTCAAAGGAAAATGTTATTAGAGCAACATTCCCTAGTTTCACAAGTTCAGACATTTACAGCTAAGTCCCACTGTGTCATATACACAGGAATGAACTATCCTCATTCCATTCATATTCCATTAGTAAGAAAGAAGTTCCATTCGAAGAGATTCTTCCCTAGACCCACTGCTTTGTGGAATAGATTCCTAAGAGAATGCTTCCCTGACTACTACAATCTTAACCTCTTCAAATCAACCATTGTCTATCCTACATATCCCCATAATCTACAATTCTTACACCCATAAAACAGTCTCATACCTTGATTGTCTTTTGGGCCTGTGGAGTTATCCCACTCGCTTTCCTAAAAAAACACTGCTAAGGGACACTCACTAAGCCTATAAAAACAAATTAAAATTTATTGAAACAAAACAAGTACAGTTGACCACTGATGACAATTCCAGAACAACGTACCAATAAACAATTTTTTTCTAACCTCTGCCAGCCGCAATGATGGAGAAAGCATTACCTCGAACCATGGCCAGTGAGACACGCTGCAAGAGCCACTCCATTTCACGAGTCTCGTCTCTTAATTGAGACGCAATCGCGCCAATCCTCCGAAGGAACGCCATTGAACAAGGGCCAATAACCCCTGAAGTCTCCACTGCCACAGGAGTAAAAAAAAATCTATCAGCAAGAGAAGAATATTTAACTATTTTTTTCATCTCTGCGTTCTGGGCGTCAGATCCTGGCTCAACCGCGGAACTGATCAAATTACTGTCCGAAAATGTATCCGCACAGGTCGCATCCCAAATCAACGACTTCCCCATTTTAAAAGGGAAAATGGTAATGCCATCCGGCCGCTTTCCATCATCGCAGTCGAGGCCCATGGGTTCGATTTGGGAAGGTAACCCACCTGATCCAAACCTCTTTTGATGATGTCGTTAATGGCAGCATGCTGTGGAAAGCGGCCGGCACTACGACGACAGGAGAGAGGATACAAACCAAACTCATCAATGGAGGCTCCACATCTGCAACTGTGACGCTCACATAATTTGAGTCCAAGACGGATCCCGACTCTGACTCGAGTGCACTCATCATCTAGAAGGGTACCGGTAGATGAAGAGGGCACTGTGTTGAGCCAGGCGCCACTACTCGATTGTGAAGCAGATAGTAGACAGGTGAGGCGATGCTGATCCAGAGAGAGCCTCAAATTAGTAAAATTGGCCTTGCATTTTATTTTATCCCAGCTTTTTTGTTTTGATGTGTCTAGTGGGAGAGAAAGTAATTCTTGAGTCCAGACGCTGCAAGCTTGTTTGAAAGAACTACCTGAGAAACACTGAGACAAACCACCGAGTATCTCATCAATTAATTCGTGACTGGACGAAAGTGAAGAAACATATGCTGGAAGGGCCAAATCTACCACTGATCGAAGGCCCAGGCCTCCGAATCTCAAAGGGAGCTTTGCCTGCCTCCAGCCTGTGTCATCGAAATTGACATTGCAAATTAGCTCCGCACATCTCTTAACTGTGATATCTATCTCATTTAAGAAATCCTGTTCGAGGTAGCAAGGAGCACTTCAGAGAGTGTAGAGGAAACTCGGTAGCGAAAAACTGTTCTTCAAGAGGAAGAGGGCTGGGTATGCATCAATTATTTGCAATTTCTCAGTCATTCTTGTTAGAATGACATGCTTAGTATCCAAACACTCTCGAATGGCCATTGGAAAGACTGGAGAACCAAGAATATGTAATTCCTCCTTAGGTGTTATTTTTATATCCTCAAGGATGAGTCTAATATCCTGGACAGCACTCTCAGAATCATCTGCAGTATAATTCAAGTTTATTATCTCTGACTTGGACGAGTTAATCTCAAGTCCAAGCAGAGATAAAGCAGGAATAACTTGTCGGAGGTCAGCAGCTATGGCCTCGATGGATCCTCCCAACGTTGCATCGTCAAGATACCATATATGGAAAAGAGAAGTGATGGAACGAGCTACCCCATCAATAGCCATCACAAATAGTAGCGGACCAAGTGGATCACCTTGCTGGATTCCAGTAGCAGAAGAGATAATATTGTTGGAGGCGATCAACATACTTGGATGACTATACGAAAGATGAACCATTTTAAATATGGAAGGAGTCCGTTGATGGCAAACTTTCAGGGCATGATCTCTTCTGATGCTATTGATCCCTTCTGATGCTATAAATATGCAATAACATTCTCTAATAGTTTAGCAGACTATTATTTTTAAAGGGATTGTATCTCAGCTGTGACTTCCAGAGGTTGACATTCAAGGTCAGATGCAAGCCAAAATAAGGAAGTCAATTTTGATTGCCTGAGCTAGTGTGGGAATGATAGATAGAAGTAAGGTTTTAGAGAGTTGAGTCTTGAGCGTCAAGCAATGTTAGATGTGTTTTCTTTTGTACCTGAAACAGCTCCCCACTGGATAGATAGAACATGTTGACATGAATGCTAATAAGATAGTTAAGTTAAAATTCTCCATGTTGATGTCATTCATTGCTGTCCAAAAACAACTAGCAATCAGCAGTCAAGAGAGGACAGGATGGGAACACCCCCACCAAGGGTCTATACAACACAGGGACAGTAAGATGTAGGTTGAATGAGGAAAATGTTTTCCCCACTGAGGAATGCACACCTGCACACACACACACACATGTATGCACTTTTCACTTCTTTTTTTTCTAGGACTTTCTCCTATACCAAACTTCACACACATAAACAATTTGGTTAGTTTAAATGTTTTCTTTATTCATTTTCATTGTTTTGTAACATGCAACAATATTCTGTGGTCTATGTATACCTTTGTTTTGTTAATACATACTTATCGTTTGTTTATATATATAGTTTTGTTGCTACTTTGTATTTTATTACTCGAAGTCACATTCTGAGTCTGCCATTTTTGTTGTGGGATAAACATACCAGTTTTCCACCTAAACATTCGACCAGCATACTCCCACAACAGGCCTTGTATTGAATGAACAATAGTATAAATAAAAAAAGCTTTTTTAGAGTCTTTCAGGATCAGATTTAATTTTACTCTCAGAAATAGTATAAGCCAGAAAGTCCATGTGAGCCAGAGAGAATATACACTTATTGTGATTGTAGATCAAGTTAAACTCCAACAGCCTGAGGTTAATGTCATGCTCTTCTTTAATTTTCCCACAAAGAATGATGTTATCTAGGTAAGTAAACATGTGAGAGAGTTGTCAATGGTGAATTTGACTGTAGTGTACTGAAAGCAAGTAATTCTGTTGGTTACTCCAAATAGAATACAACCGAATTGGTATAGCTGACCTCAAAAGTAGTGTAAGGTTCATCTTTATCAAGTATTGGGACTTGATGGCAGGCAGACTTCAAATCAATTCTATCAAAGAATCAATATTTTGCCATACTGTTCACTAGTTCATCAATGTTTGGTAGGTAGTAAGCAACTAACAGTGTGAAATTGTTCACATTTTGAGAATAATTGACTACCATTCTTATACTGTTCATTAGTGATCATGACACTTGAAATAAAATGATTATCTGGAAAATTATTTTTTCTTAGCTGTTATTGGGCTACAGTCATTGGTATGGTTGACCACTCATATCTGAGTATGCCTGTCTGTTAGGGTGGCTAGCTAATCCCTGTTGCAGACACCCTACTCAGGCACATTTGTGTTTGTTAAACACCCACAGAACCCACTTGTGGTTCAAACTGCAACTATGCTGATCAGACCTTATAGTTTCTTGGAGAGAGTATATAATCTGGCATGATCACAAGATTGGGCAAGGCTAGTATGCTCAGGCCCTCGATTAGGATGACTTGTGAATTTGTGTTAGCATGCACAGAGTCACAAATTGTTAACAGCTTTTTAATAGTTCTTTCTACCCAATTTGACTCAAAAGGGTTGAATCAATCTGTGGTATGATTTTTCAAGTACTGCAATTGTCTCCTCCCCAAGCCAGTATTGTCAAGAAGTTACCAAATTGACTCTGCTGAGATTGAAACCCACATCTTATGGTTGGAGCACTAACATTCTTATCACTTGGCCAAAATCATTGGTAAGATTAGCAAAATATCATCATAGAGACACAGGAAAGCTAGAAAATCCACATGAATAAACTCAGGTTTTACTATAATTCATTCAACAAAGAACATGGCAATACGCATAACTGCAATCAATGTAACCTTTCAGGAAGAAACAAAGTGCACTGAATTCATAGAAGAAAGCAACATTATATATATATATATATATATATATGAGAGAGAAAGAGAAGGCTTACAGCCACATCATGTTGAAACAGCAGTTCCTGTATGATCACCAAAGTTAAACAATGTTGAGTTTGATTAGTACCTAGATGGCTGACTGTTTGGGAATACCAGGTGCTGCAGGATTGGATGTGCAGGTGGTGTAATATATAATGGTTCAGAATTGTTAATCAGAGAAATGAATTACAATTCCTGTTGGGTTCGTTATATTCTCTTACATGCAAATACCTTTGAGAAAGGTATAAATTCACTTCTTCTCATCAAGCTATGGGTTAATTAATAAGCCATGTATAACTAAACCATTATTATCTCAAAAAAAATCTTACAATCTAAAAATATTTTCTGTCTTTAAATAACCTACAAAGAGTACATAAACAGTGATATTATCTATGATTATTTTATATTCCCACATAAATATTTAACTATTTGTATATTGCATTTTTATGGATATATACATTTATGTACATTCTCTCTACCTTTTCTTTCTCATTTAATTATTTACTATTTTTTTATATTTAATTTTAAAAAAAATATTTTTATTTTCCTTTATTTATTTTTATTATAAGTTTTAACTTATATTCAATTGCAATATTTTGCATTAATGATCCATTTCTGATCCCCACGAATTTTAAAACTAAAATTCAATATCAAGCAGTGACAAAGGCTGCTGAAGCAACTGAAAATTTTGTGATTCTTTCAAATATTTCTTGTACACTTTTTGTTTAGTTGACATGTAAAAGCACATTAAAGTATTTGAAAAAATCACAATATATATATATATATATATATATATATATGATGGACTCTCCCATTGGGTTCAAGGTATAAGAGTCCAGCAGCTCAGATCTTAGAACTCAACAGCCAGACTACCTGCACATATGATCTGATTATAATGGTGAAGGTTTGTGCAGAACCGACCACAATTTTCAGAAGAACTGAATGCAAAAAATTGAAACACACAGTGTGCCACAAGGTCTCCAAACAACTCTCTTCAGATTTTGAAGTGATAGTTGTCCTTTTCCTAGACTGGTTGCTACACAAGACTAAAGAATCCAGTCTGCCTTACTATTTAACCCCTAGCTAAGGAGAGACGAAGAGATAAAGTCATACATTTCTCAGGATTATTTGTGCATAAGTGAATGTAACAAACTCAACTGGAATTTTAAATTGGCTCTCTGATTTTTCATTCCAACCAACCATTCATTTTACCACCCTCACACACACAAACACACACACACACATATATATATCAGGTCATCCCATAAGTTCTGTCTGAATTTTAACTTTTTGTTAAAATGAACAAAATTTAAAGAGTATTTTATAATGTCTAATGGAGCTTAACATTATTTTTATGTTTAGATGCATTTAAACTGATCAAATTTTATTTCAGAGAACAATAAAATTAAATTTTGTTTGATTAAAACCCTGCTAACATGGAAGTACCCAAGAATCATTTGAGGCACATAATGCTTTATGAGTTCAAGAAAGGAAACTCAGCAGCTGAAGTGGCTAGAAACATTCACTCAGTTTATGGAGAGGAATGTGTGAATGAAAGAACTTGCAGAAGATGGTTTGCAAAATTCAGAGGTGGAGATTTCACCCTAGAAGATGAAGATTGAACCGGACGTCCAGTTGAGTTTGATGAAAAGCTTCTTGAAGCAGCCCTTGAAGAAAATCCTGCTTTATCAGTTGAGGAATTGGCAGTGGTTCTCAGTTCAAACCATACAACTGTTCATTGTCATCTTCAACAACTTGGAAAAGTTCCTAAATTTGAAAAATGGGTGCCTCATGAATTGTCTGAAAACAACCTCAAATCCCGACTTGACATCTGCTCTTCTCTCCATTCTCGCCAACTTCTTTCACCTTTTTTGGATAGACTTGTGACTGGCGACGAAAAATGGATCTTTTATCAAAATGTTAAGTGTCATAGATGGTGGCTTGGTAAAGGGGAAGGATACCAGCCACAGCTGAGAAGGGAACTTCATGGGCAAAAGTTTCTTCTTTCAATCTGGTGGGATCGCCAAAGAATAATCCACTTTGAATTCTTACCACCTAATGCAACAATTAATTCTCAAATATACTGTCAGCAATTAGAGCGTTTGAACCAAGCTTTGAGGAAAAAGAGACCTACTCTAGAGAATCAAAAAGAGGTGATGTTTCATCAGGAGAATTCGCGACCCCACACAGCAAGAATCACATCACAAAAGATCGAAGAACTTGGTTGGGAGAAAATTCCTCATCCACCTTATTCTCCCGATCTTGCTCCTTCAGACTACCATTTGTTTTGTAGCTTACAGAATCATTTGGAAGAAACAGCTTTTGTAACATAGGAAGAGGTTAAAAGTGACATTTGTGAGTTCTTCAAATCAAAGCCAAAAGAATTTTACAGTAATGGAATTAGTAAGCTAGTTAATAGATGAATGGAAGTCATAGATAATCAGGGAAAATACATTGTTGATAGAATCTGTAATTAAATGTAACATTTGGTCACTTGTTTTCTTTATTTAAAATTCGGACAGAACTTATGGGATGACCTGATATATATATATATATATATATATATATATATATATCGTCTTGTCAGCTGTGATGCTAAAAATTCTGCACTGAATAACCAAATGATGACCTGCATTCATATTAATGATTGTTATTGAAATATTTTGTTAAAGTTTTTAAGTTCAAATATTTAATGATACAATTGGAGAAATTCCATGGTTTTTTTTTTAATCAATTCACTCCAAACAAGGTGATAATGAGGCTAAGACACAAGGGGCTACTGGGAGTGAAAGAGAATGAAAAGACTTTAGAAAGAGCCAGAAACCAAATTTTAAACAGAAAACAAGGGAAAGACCTCTACTCCTATTCAAAAGACTGTGTGCAAAACAGTTAATTGTCAAACCTGTCTACTCCTATTGATTAAAATAAAATAAATGAATAAATAGTAAATAAAATTTCATAGATTAGGTAGAGATGTTAAAAGTATAGAGATGAAGTAGACTTTAGAAGGAAGTAGAAACTCAATCCTAAAAAGGAAAAAGCCTCTACTCCTGTTGAACCAAATGATAGATGAATCTATCTCCTCCTATTATACATGTTATTGTTGTCAGACTCACAAGGAACTTAAAAGTTATAAGTCATCAAAAAAATTCAAATATGAAATTTTTATGTGTATTTCTAGTGTGTGATGAATGTACTGCCAAACTGACACCAAACAGATTCTGAATGTGCAAAGTAGCTTCTATGCATTTAATTTGTTGTGAAATGTAAATGCTTGTCAGGCAAATAACATCAGACCAATTGCCAGGATTAATTAACTATAAGTGTCACATATCTTTAATTTTCTAAATAACCACATGACATCTCATTAATTTGCTAAGTGCAAGATGACTTGTACACTAGAAATTACATATTGTATCTTTGCAGTTTAAGAACAAATACAGTAATTTATTTTAATGAGACAGGGAAAAAATTCTATTTCAGTTTTAAATAATGGCTGACCTATTTATGAATATATGAGTGTTGCTAATAGCAACTTTTCAACATTACAAAAGACAAGATATCCTCTGGAGAACATTCCCTTTCTTCTACTTTACTGCTCTTTATTCAATTATTATTTTAACTTTAATATTTTCCAATGCACTACCTTCATTATTGAAGGTAGTGCAACATAAAGCTGTTTGTGGTTAAATACTGGTTGTGACAAATGTATCATCACAAGTTCCCTTCTAAGTGAATTATTAATAGATCTGCAAGTGGTAAGCCAATTTATTACAGAGTAGCTCAGTGGTTCCCAAACTGCTTTGGGGAATGCCCCACCTGTTATGATAGGTATTCACTTTGACAGATGTTGTCTTGTCAAGAGAAGATAACTCTCCTGAAACCTAAGAGGGTTTACAACTTTAGTTGATCTTTGACTTCTATTTTTTTTATAGGAGATCTAGGTCTTAACTGATTCTCCTCATTTGAATCATCATGATACTTCCGATTACTTTAATCCCCAGATTGTTCATCAAAACTACTGGATACACTCATTCTCTCCTCCCTTTCCTGTTCTTCACTTTCATATCTCTGGTGGTCTTCCTGATCACTTTCAATACTAGATCCATTTACCCTTTCTTTCATCGTCTTGCATGTTCTTCTTTCCTCTTCCTTTTCCATAACTTCATACTCCCTTGTGGCTCTAAATTGGTCTTCATAAGCCAGTATGTCTTGTCCATTCTTTGTTAACACAGCTGTGTTAAATCCCTTTTGCACCACAAAATTTGCCTTTTCAGAACTTGAATCCTTGTCCTTTCTGTACCACACACTTTCATTCATTGCAAATGACATGATAATTGGAACTCTTATTTGTCTTCCCATCAATGTGGATAGGCTTTGTCTTCTGGCAACTCTCTTCTGGGGTTGAATATAAATTCTAAATTCTTATGATCAGATTTTAATAGAAATTTCCTTCCCCGCAAAAAAAATTCTAGCTCTTTCCGTGCTCCACATTATCACCAATGCCCCCTTCTCAATATTCAAATAATTCACCTCTACTGATGTTAGTTTTCTAGATAAATACATTACAGAGTGATCCTCCTGCGACAATATTGTGGCTATAGCATCCGTAAATGTCAATTCTTTTGCTGGGTTGAAGATTTTAATGACATGCATTTTTTAATTTCTCAAAAGTGATCTCCTGTTGTTTTGTGTATTGAAACTTAGTATTCTTCTTCCTTATTTGATTAAATGGCTCCATAAGGTCCCTATATCACAGTAGATATCTGTTATAGAAATAGTTTAATCCTAAAAAGGATTCTAACTCTTTTATTTCTGGGTGCAGCTATCCTTGATATCTTATTAATGAGTTTATCATCCAGTGATATACCATCTTTGGATATTTGATATCCTAAGTCAAAAATTTTTTCACAATTAAACTTGCATTTATTGTGATTGTCATACCTGCGCTATTTAATTTTCTCAAAACTTGCTCTATTTTACTTTTGAGCTCATATTTACTGTGTGCACTAGTGGCAATGTTGTCCTGATATATAATTATATTTCTAATCTACTTTAAAACTTTTTCGATGGCTTTTTGGAAAATGTGACTTGACATTTTTATTCCAAATGGCAGACTTAGTAAT